GACTAGACTTCGCACTGGCGCCGGAGGCCCCAGATATGAAGAAAAGTACTCTCAGCCCGCGTTCTAGCAAGTCGCACTGATGAGACACCAGACACGAGACACGCGCGCCCGCCCCCAAAGAGCGTGTCACAGCAATTCACGGTGGAGTGCTTCGTGAAGGATGGATTGTCACACACACCGAGATGGATCAAAACGCGGTGGACTCGCCACGCGACGGAGCAACATGCGCGATACGGTACACAAAGCCGTGGCACCCACAGCAGGCCGGGGGGGCGGGTTCAGTCTGCACGGTCTCTTACGGTCGCCAGCAGTGCGTGCAGCCGCACCACGCGCCGTGCTTGTACCAGATCGCAAAGACGGGCAGGCACTGCGAGGACTGGTACACCATAAACTCCGGGTGCTCGACGACGCCGCCCTGCTGAAGGGTGAGTGCTGCGACCGAGCTGAGCGGGCCGCGGCCGTCCGGCCGCTCTGGAGGCTTCAGGGCGTCCCGCATCGGCTCTTGCGCGCGGTGCGCCTCTCCGAGGCACGCTCGTGCGACGAGGACGCAGCGCTCTCCCGCCGCGTTTGGCTCGGTGTAGATGTCGGACTTGGACGAGTTTGCCGCGAGGTAGACAGCGGCGCCGAATAGCTTGCCAAAGTGCCCCCCCGCGTAGCGCGGGTCGAGGCCTTGGCGGGTGAGGCGCTCGATCAGCTCCGACGGCGCGCCATGGTACAACAAGCGCTCGTTCAGCTTGAGGCCCGGGAAGGCTTCGACGTCGATGCGGGTGCAGCGGGCGTCGATGTCAGGGAGCGGCCCCACGCGCCGCTCGCACAGCCCGGCGATGTCCTGCAGCTCAGCGAGGTACTTCTCCTGCAGCCGCGGGTTGAAGAGCTGCTCGACCCGCTGCACCTCGAAGAGCGGCACGCTGCGATGCGGGTCGCCCTGCCGCGGGCCGCGGTGGCGCGTGCGCGACTTGAGGAACTCCCTGACGAGGAGCGCGCGCGTTGGGTCGCCGTCGCCAAGCTGGACAGCGCGCGCCGTCTGGTAGCGCGAGTAGAGGGGCAGCTTCGCGAGGTTGGCCAGCACCGCGGACTCGCACTTCGCCTCCGCCGCCGCATGCGCCGCCTCGTACGGCTGCAGCCGCGCCACCTCCGCCTTGTGCTCATCCAGGGAGGAGAGCAGCCGCCCCACGTCGAGCTTGCCGGCGGCCGCCGCGCTCGCAAGGGCCGCGCTCACCAGCGCCGCGTCGCACGGGCAGTCCTGCTCTTGCGCCCACTTGAGCGCCTCGGTGTTGCCCGCTGCTGCGAGCGCGCTGCAAGTGCGCTCGTCCCAAGGCAAGTCGAAAGAGCGCAGAAACGATAGCTCCGCCACTCCGTGCAGCGTCGCTGCCGCCGCGCAGCACGTCTCGTCGGCGGGGCAGCCGAGAGTGAGAAGCCGCGCGATTGGCTGCACCGCATTGCGGGATCCAAAGCGGACGCCGCCCACGGACACCTCGAGCGCCGGTTTGAAGGCGCTCCAATGGCCAGCGAGCGCCGCGGCGGTCGAGACACCCCATGGCGCGCCGCCCTCGCGCGCCCACTCGAGCAGCGGCACGTCTCCGCGCGACGCCGCCACGTCGCACGTCTTCCCCCAGCGGCAAGTCCCGTCGACGAACTGCAGGTACTCGATGAGCTCGCGCCCTCCAGGCTGCGCTGCGGCGAGCTCGCACAGCCGCTCGCGCGGGCAGCCCACCGCCAGCGACCACTTCAACCGCGGGAACGAGCCAACGGCCGATGCCACGTGCGTCTTGAGGTGCAGCCGCGGCGCGCCTCGGCGCAGCGCGTCCCGGAGTGCACGGCAGCTGAGCGCGGCGGCGAAGCGGTCGTCTTCGCCAATGTGCTTGGCGACCAGCTCCGCGACGTCCCCGGCGACGCTTCCCAGGCCAGCAACCGGGAGCGCCTCCGCAGCTGTGCTCTCCGCCTCCAGCCGCGACAGGTTCGTCGGCCGCACCCGCACGCACTCGGCGCTGCTCTCGAGCGCCACCACGTACCGCCCTAGCCTGAAACTCTGAGCCACGCCCCGCCGCCCGTTCAGCTCGGGGCGGGCCGAGAGCCCGCTGAGCACGACTCGCTGCCCGAGCAGCGGCGCGTCCACAGCTGCTGCCGCTGCCGCGCCCGAGGAAGCGCCGCCCGCCCCTGCTCGGCCCTCCGCCGCCGCCGCCGCTGCCGCCGCCTCGCGCCGCGCTGCCTCCTCGGATAAGGCCTTGACGCACTCGGTGTGGCCCTTCTTCTTGGCCAGCTGCAGCGCCGTACGCCCGCCCGAGGTGCGCGCCGCCGTGTCTGCGCCCGCCCGCAGCAGGCAGAGTACGACGGCGGGGTGGCCTTGGATGCATGCGGTGTGCAGGGGCGTAGCGCCACCGTCCGTGGCCTGGTTGACCGCCGCGTCAGCCTCGAGAAGCAGCTGGACGATGCCGAGGTGGCCATTCTGGCACGCAACGTGCAGGGGCGTGAAGCCGCAGCCCGTGGCTTGGTTGCTCGCCGCGCTGGCCTCGAGGAGCAGCCGGGCGATCTTGGGGTGGCCCTCTTGGCACGCGACGTACAGCGGCGTGACACCGTCCTCATCGGCTTGGTCGACCGCCGCACCGGCCCCGAGGAGCAGCTGCACGACGTCGAGGTGGCCCTTGAAGCACGCGACGTACAGCGGCGTGGTGCCGTCGTCCATGGCTTGGTTGACCGCCGTGCTGGCCTTGAGGAGCAGCCGGGCGATGCCGACGTGGTCCTTCTCGCACGCAATGTACAGCGGTGTGGCGCCGTCTTCCGTGGCTTGGGTGACCGCCGCACCAGCCCCAAGGAGCAGCCGGGCGATCACGAGGTGGCCCTCCTGGCACGCGACGAGCAGCGGCGTGAAGCCGTCAGCGTCTGCTTGGTTCACCGCAGCGCCGGCGGCGATCAACAGACGGACGCAGTCGATCTGGCCAGCCAGGCTCGCAGCGCTCAGCGGCGTGGTGCCGTCGTCTTTGGCTTGGTTGACCGCCGCGCCGGCGCCGAGGAGCAGCTCGACGCACTCGAGGCGGCCCTCCTCGCACGCGATGCACAGCGGCGTGACACCAGTGTCCTCGGCTTGGCCGACCGCTGCGCCAGTGTCGAGAAGCAGCCGGGCGATATCGACGTGGCCCTTCTCGCACGCGACGTACAGCGGCGTGAAGCCGCCGTCCATGGCTTGGTCGACCGCCAGGTCAGCCGTGAGGAGCAGCCGGAGGACATCGACGTGGCCATTCTTGCTCGCAATGAACAGCGGCGTGGCGCCGTTGGCGTTGGCTTGGTCGACTGCCGCGTGCGCCTCGAGAAGCAGCTGGACACACTCGAGGTGGCCCTGCTGGCACGCGATGGCCAGCGCGGTTGAGCCGCCGCCGGTCGTCGCCCCGACGCTCGCGCCGCTCTCGAGCAGCAGCCGCACGGCGTCGGCCTGCCCGTGCCGAGCGGCGATAGTCAGCAGCGTGAAGTGGTTCTCGGCCTTGAGGCGCGCGTCGAGCAGGGCCGTGAGCGCCGCGCCGCGCGTCCGCCCGGCGAGGAGGGCGCGCAGCAAGCCCAGGCCGCCCTGGCGCAGCTCGGCGGGCACGGCGCTTCTCATCGCGGCGAGATGGCCGATGGCGCCGCTCATTGTGCAGATGGATGGCGGCAGCGAAAAGTATTTTCCTCTTTTCTCGACGAGGAGAGAGGGAGAGAACGACGAGAGTGGGACGGCCGCGAGGTGGCATGAAGGTTGCAGCGAGAAGCGGCGAGACACTGCGAAAAGAGATACGAGGAGGCAGACTCCCCAGGGTGGGCGACGGCTAGCGCATCACACTCCTCTCCTTAAAATCCCTGTGTGGTGGCGGCGTGCCGTTCTCCCATCCCTCCCTTGGGTTGTCTGTTTTCTTTCTTTTTGAGGAGAGAGGGAGCGCGCACAGACTGACGTCAGCTCTGCTTCTGAAGTACACCTCTGAGAAAGACACCTCCAGAGGTGTAGTGCACCTCTGAGGCACCTCAGAGGAAACGCTGCACTTCTTTTATCGATCTCGTCGCGAGACTCCGATTTCTCTTTGTCGGGCCATGTGCCGCTCGCTCGTCCGCCCAAGTGACTTGGACGCGCGGTCGAGGGCACCCCACCGTTCCTGGGGCGCGCTGGCGCTCGCCAGCAATCGTCCCCCACCCATCCACCCTTTTTCTTTGAGGCTGTCGCTCCGAGAAAACTCGTCTCGCAGCTGCGAGAAGTTATCCCTTTGGCCGCGTTGGGTAGCGAGGATTGGTGTGACGCGATCCACGCAGGCGTGGTTTCTGACGGCCGACCGTCAGTGCACGGAGTTGCCCCTTCTCCGACTGCCCCGGCTAGTTAGTTCACGAGTTTCGCGGGAGTGACCCCATGCGTCAAACTCGAGACCTAGCTAGCGCGGGTGGGTTCCCACGGCACGATTGTGTGTGTGTGTGTGTGTGTGTCACTCACTCACTCACTCACGGAACGATTCACGCGACAGATAATTTTACCATTAAACTGTCTCGCACGACACTAGGCACGGGAGCGGTTCCCGGCATGTATCTTCGTTATCACTCGAGGCGGGCGGGTCCCGGGTCTCGCAGATCTCGTGTGTGGGGAGGCTGCGACCCGGTACACCCATGCTACGACTCTGGCGTACGATGCGACTGAGTGTCTGCGTGGGAGCATGCAATCCGTGGCACGGCACTCCACAAAAAATCTTATCTTCTCCCTTTGCCTCCGACGCTAGAGACACCCACACCCCAGTATCAGACCAGGGGGACTGCCCCCCGCCCCCGCCTGCCCTGCTTACACAGGATAGCATGCCCCGAGAACGGCGACACTTGGTGGGGGACACCGAGTGCGAGCTAGGAGGAAGTCGGCGCAGGCGGCTATCCCGCTATCAAGCTGTTCTTGTCGAGGCCAGAGGGTCTCGGTACGCGTGGGGCGGCCGCGGAGGCGGCGTTTAGGCGGCTCTCGGTCGAGAGCGTGGCGAGGTGGTCGCGGCGCTCGTGGCGGCACAGTACTAGCCCAACAGCCTCTGCAGGTAGGTGTGCCGCTCACTGGCAGTCGCGAAGCCGTTCCACTCGTAGAATGGAACGCTGATCACCCTCCAGCCAGCCGCTGTGAGGAGGCGCCGCTTGAGCAGCGTCGGCCCGTTGGGTTTGCGCACGCCCCGGCCGTCGGGCAGCAGGAAGTGAGAGGGGCCGTCCACCTCGACCGCGACGCGTGATGAGGGCAGCGCCAGGTCGAGCGAGTAGCCGGTGCGCGGCTCGAGATGCTCCTCCTCGAAGCCGTGCTGGACGGCGGCGAGGGCAGCCGCGACGGAGCGTTGGAACTCAGAGATCGTCACTTGCGTATTTTGCATGGCGTCGCAGCAGAGCTTGCGCTGGGACTCGGAGAGAAGGTGCTGCTGCCCGTCTGCTCCTCGCTCAAGGGAGAGCCAGAGCTGCCACTGGTGCAGCTGAGAGCGGTCCACGACGCCCCACCTCGACGGATCCCGCGCGAGCGAGTCGCTGATCACACGCGAGCAGTCTGCGAGCAGCACCTGGTGGTAGTGGCCCGCCGTCGCATACGCCCACACCGTGTTGGCCAGTGCCTGTGGGTCGAAGCCAGCCAGCCCGCCGCGCACCGCCGCCTCCGCTACCGCCGCGTACAGCGCGTCCGCAGCCACGCCCGCCGTCGCATACGCCCACACCGTGTTGGCCAGGTTCTGAGGGTTGAAGCCAGCCAGCCCGGCGCGCACCGCCGCCTCCGCCACCGCCGCGTACAGCGCGTCCGCAGGCACGCCCGCCGTCGCATACGCCCACACCGTGTTGGCCAGCTCCTGCGGCGTAAAGCCAGCCAGCCCGCCGCGCACCGCCGCCTCCGCCACCGCCGCGTACAGCGCGTCCGCAGCCACGCCCGCCGTCGCATACGCCCACACCGTGTTGGCCAGGTCCTGCGGGTTGAAGCCAGCCAGCCCGCCGCGCACCGCCGCCTCCGCCACCGCCGCGTACAGCGCGTCCGCAGGCACGCCCGCCGTCGCATACGCCCACACCGTGTTGGCCAGTGCCTGAGGGTTGAAGCTGGCCAGCTCGTCGCGCACCGCCGCCTCCGCCACCGCCGCGTACAGCGCGTCCGCAGCCACGCCCGCCGTCGCATACGCCCATACCGTGTTGGCCAGGGCCTGCGGCGTAAAGCCAGCCAGCCCGCCGCGCACCGCCGCCTCCGCCACCGCCGCGTACAGCGCGTCCGCAGCCACGCCCGCCGTCGCATACGCCCATACCGTGTTGGCAAGGTTCTGAGGGGTGAAGCCAGCCAGCCCGCCGCGCACCGCCGCCTCCGCCACCGCCGCGTACAGCGCGTCCGCAGCCACGCCCGCCGTCGCATACGCCCACACCGTGTTGGCTAGGGCCTGAGGGTTGAAGCCAGCCAGCCCGCCGCGCACCGCCGCCTCCGCCACCGCCGCGTACAGCGCGTCCGCAGGCACGCCCGCCGTCGCATACGCCCACACCGTGTTGGCCAAATCCTGAGGGTTGAAGCTGGCCAGCCCGCCGCGCACCGCCGCCTCCGCCACCGCCGCGTACAGCGCGTCCGCAGCCACGCCCGCCGTCGCATACGCCCACACCGTGTTGGCCAGGTTCTGAGGGTTGAAGCCAGCCAGCCCGCCGCGCACCGCCGCCTCCGCCACCGCCGCGTACAGCGCGTCCGCAGCCACGCCCGCCGTCGCATACGCCCACACCGTGTTGGCCAAATCCTGAGGGTTGAAGCCAGCCAGCCCGCCGCGCACCGCCGCCTCCGCCACCGCCTCGTACAGCGCGTCCGCAGCCACGCCCGCCGTCGCATACGCCCACACCGTGTTGGCCAGGTTCTGAGGGTTGAAGCCAGCCAGCCCGCTGCGCACCGCCTCCTCCGCCACCGCCGCGTACAGCGCGCGCTCCACCCCCGAACGCCGGCCGCACTTTGCCACGCCGTGGGTGATGTTCGCCAGGTTACGTGCTTCGCACGACGAGACGAGGTGGAGCGTGCGCTGCACCAGCTGCTCAAGTCGCTCCTCGTGCCGCCGCTCGATGCGCTGCTTGCCCAGTTTGTTCCACAGGTTCGCAGCGTGGATGTGGTTCAGGCTCGCACTGTGGGCAGCAAAAAGCGTGAGCAATGCGTCAGCGCTGCCAGCATTTGAGATGTGGCTGCTGAGCTGCTTAGCATTGAGCTGACCACCGGCAGCAGAGGTGTGCCTCTCGTCGCGCGATCCCGCACCACGCATCGGCGGACTCCACCGGCGGTCGCTGTGCTGAGGCTGCCCCTCGCCGCGGCGGTCGCGCCGGTCATGGTCGCGCCTGGGATCGTGGGGCCGATCATCGCGCCGATCGCACAAGTCGTGCTCGCGCTCGCCTATGCTTGGTCGGTCGTTGCAGCCGCGCCGCTCGACGTGCCGCCCGTCATGATGCGGCCGTCGTCCGCCTCGCAATGGCTCATCGCGGCATCGCTCAGCGGGCCTTTTTGGCTCAGCGTGCCGTTGCTGCTCGCGACCACTGCACCAAGAGCCGTTGTAGCCGCGCCGCTCGTCGTGCCGCCCGTCATGGTGCCGCCCTTGCTCGCCTTGCCAACGCTCGTCGCGCCGTCGCAGCTCATCCCGCCGCGGCTCATCGCGCGATCGCGACCGCCGTCGCGACTCGTCCCGCCATCGCCGCCCTTCGCGTCCGTACTCGGCGCGCCGTTGCTCATCACGCCAGCGACGCTCCTCGCCCAGATGAGACGTATATGCGTTTGGGGTCGAGCGCGCTGCATGCAAGGACCGCGTCTGTTCACACAAAAACACGGACCCGAGACGCACAAGCAAGCACAGACAGTCGAGAAGGGAGAGACAGCAACGACAGTCAGAAGCCAGCGCTGGGTCTGTTCACGCACGCAAGCTGCTCTGTGAGAAGGCGTGTCTGCTTGAAAGTACCCTGCCTCGTGGCGGTGGTAGCTAAAAAGGAAAAGTACATGAGCCTGGAAGCTATTCATGAGTAGGGTGGTGTATCGCCAGTAGAAGGGAGAGTCCACCGAGCTGCGAGCCTGTCGCTGTTCCTTGTCAGGAGCAAGCAGGCGAACTAGCATGCGAACCAGCTAGGAGAGCGCAACCAGCAGGGGGCCTGTGCCCTGTCAGGAATCCTGCGCAGCCCCCCTTCGTGTCGCGATGCGCTCCCCGCTCCCGTTCCCCTGTGACTAGGTCCAGCCCTGGGTGGCGCAGATCTGACGTTTGACATCGCGTCAGATCCGTGTTTTCTCGTCTTGCGGTACATCTCTCCGCTCGCCACCTCACGCTCCGCCGTCCGGCCATGGATGGTTCGATGGAGCTCGCCGAGCTCCATCGAACCATCCAACTCGGGTCACCGGGTCTGAACGCGCTCAGCCTCAGGAGGTACCAAACCGCGCGAATTCTGCACGCCTCGCTGCACCGCTGGCTTGACTGAATCAGGCAGCAGCAGGCTGCTGCTGTTGCCACAGCAGCAGTCTGCTGCGGCCCCAATACGCAAGTTGATGACTAGCAGCACTGCCGGGGGCATACGAGCCGCCACAGCCGGTGTGCGGCTGTGCACTGCCACCTGCCCGCGGCTACGCACAATGTGCGCTCGCATTGGATGAGCCTTGCTGATGGACCTGCATCGCCTAGCTGCACGAGAGCAATGCCGCAGGCAGTGGCCGTGGCATACACTGCGAGCACACTTGGTGCAGCTGCGAGGTGCAGCAAGAGCACGTCGTTCCTGCCTCTGATGCCACTCTCGCGGCTTGCAGCGCGTCACTCGCGCATGCTCTCCAGGAGCTATGGCGGGCGCGTGTGTGGGGCTGTAGCCTGTGTTTGGCCGGTTCTGACCCGTTTACTATCAGTATCATGTCCGGGCCACAAAAATCGCACACGGGTAGCGGCTCAGGGGCCCAGTAAGTCGCGGAATCGCCAAATGTCACAACCTGCGCCACCCACGACCCAGGGCTGGACCTAGTCCTGTCCCCTGACCGTCCTTCCAAGATCCTGCTCGTGCAGGTGGGGACCCTGTCCTTCTCCAGTCCTTCTCCCACCCCTCGTTTGGCGTGTCCGTTTATTAAGTTATTTGTATCACGGGTGTTCGCTGCCCACTTTGTGCCCGCTGGTAGGACAGACAGTGACCGCCGCAAACGCCCTGTGGTCAGCAGACACATAGGTGAACGCACGCTCGTGGCGCACCGTCACACAGAGAGTACTCTAATTCCCCAGTGCAGGCACAAGCTCCAGGAGAGGTGTCTGTGTCGGCTTTATTGTTCATGTCCGCTCCTTTCTACTCTCCCCCATCTCCACATACACAAACACTGATCACTTGGTCGGATCACGCGCGCAGCACGTCACCGCGTCAGCTTCCGTATCGAAAAGGCGCTCCTGGGCAGCAAATTTCGAAATGGGCGCTGCTTCTGCTGTGACCGCGATGCCCAACACAGGATGCCAAGCAGAGCCGGGAGGCAGAGGCACAGAACACCGACGACAGCGATCCGCCGGGTGGGTACGGCAGCAGTGGCACCCGGCTCGAGTCCAAGGGAGTGTGCGTCGCGCGGCTCCGCGTCATTCGACTGCGGCTCCAACCTAGGGGACGGCGTGTCGTATCCGTCCATGAGCGCACGCTGACGCCGGAGCAACGGGTCGCTCGGTGGGGGCGACGGCGGCGGTGGTCTAGGCGGCGGAGGCGATGGCGGCGGTGGCGACGGAGGCGGCGGCGGCGGCGGCGGTGATGGGGGCGGCAGCGATGGAGGCGGAGAGGGCGGAGGCGGCGAGGGTGGCGGCGACGAGGGCGGCGGGGGTGACGGTGGCGGCGGGAGCGGTGGCGGCG